TGCAGGCCTCTACCTGTCAGCAGATGCTCCTCATTCTCCCTGCGTGGGTCTGGTAGACTCATGCTCAGCATGTCCAAACTACCCCACTCCCAGCCTTCTCTCAGATCTGCTCTTTCCCCATCTCAGAAGATCAATTCCATCATTCCAGTTGCTCAGGCAAAAACAAACAAAACAAAGTGATCTTTTTTGCCTCCCATCCAGCTGTTGGCATGTTGTGTTGTCTGTATCCTCTAAAGTATACTTAGTATTTGGTCATGTTTCCTTCACTGCTCAGTCTCCTTCCCATCCTGATCCACAAGATACAGAAGCCTCCCAAGACTGCTCCCCCCACCACCCCAGCTCTAGTCTATCCCCAGATCAGCCAGATGATCCTTTAGAACAAATTGGATCTCCCCCCACCCATCCATGCTCCCCCTGAGGGCAGGCCACACTTAGTACCCTCTTTCCCCACCTCCTCATGCTTACTCTTCTCTGAGCTCTGGAAAGAGCACCCCAGGTCCACTTTTCAGAGCATCAGCCTGGTCATTTCTCCCAAACATGTATTGCTAAGCACTTTTCTCATGCTTGGAACAGGAATGTTACTGGTAGTATTCCTGCTGGTGTGTTAGTAACAGCGTAGTATAAATAACGCTTCCAAGTACAGATAGTAGTAATGATAATGCCTTAGGGTTATGGCTCCATGACTTGTGTTTATTTACTTTTTTTTTTTTTTTAATCATCAAGAGACGTTTACTGGTGTGTGCTCAGCTTGTGCCAGGTGCTTTCCGTTGGTCTCCTGAGTCTTGTTTAAAAATTCTGGTTTCTACATCATTCACCCCTTTGGAGTTGTTTTAGACAGGTTTTTCTCCTGAGGTTCTCAGATCAGTTAGACAGTGGCATTTTATTAAAATAAAGTAGGGGCACCTGGGTGGCTTAGTTGGTTAGACGGCTCTTGATTTTGGCTCAGGTCGTGATCTTGGGGTTGTGGGTTCAAGCCTCATGTCAGGCTCCATGCTCAGTGTGGAGTCTGCTTGAGATTCTTCACCGCACCCCCCTCCCCCGCATGTGTGTGTTCTCTCTCTCTCTCTCAAATAAATAAATAAAATCTTTAAAGTAGCTTTTGGTAGAGGCAATTACAATTTGCACCGACCCAAAGCTCCATGTTGTCATTCCACCTATGATTTGGTGGCCCCTTTGTTCTGGGGTTGCTCTGTGCTGTGCCTGTGTAGCCTCTAGTGTGGTTGCAACCTCCCTTCTTGGAGTGAGGAAGATCTGGGCTTCATCTTGCCCACCTCTCTGCTCTCCCAGCCCTGTCTGAGGATGTATTAGAGCAGGCTCTGCTTGGCTTGGTTGTGTTTGCAGAGAGTGAGAAGGAGGGGCTGAGGCCACCTGGGTTCTAGCCCTGCTTCCTGGGTAGCATCCTGTGCCTTAGGCCGCCTTGCAGTCCTGGGAGCCTCATCTTTACAGTGGGCATGCTGCTGTCAGGATCTGCCCCTGCCTGCATGTAGTGCCAGCACAGGATCCCCCTTCAGGAGGAAAGCTGCTCTTTGTGGGCTGGCCATTCCTGAATGGGCTTGTGGTAGAACCTCTCTTGTCTTTCCCTTCATTCTACCCTTACTGGCCAGGGATTTTGAAGCAGATCCTAATTTGCTATCACAGTAATCCAGCCTTGTCACCTGCTCTTTAGAAAGTATTCTGATGTACCTCCTCACTGCTTTTTTGCAGAGATTGTAGGTCATGCTTCATTCCTCAAGGCTGGTTTCTTCCCTATAGGTTTGTGGCTGGATCCTGGGTTCATGCCTGCAGGGTGGTGGCCGCTAGCCCTAAAGTGCGGGGGCTACTGGTCCTTCATGCTGAGAGGAGGGGAGAGCTGCTCTTTACCAGCACCTGCCCTCCCTGGGAGCAAATGCCCCATGTGGCCTCTAAGGCAACCACCTTGGTGTGGAGTAGGTACCACCCAAGGCGTGGCAGGGGGTGGGGTGCAGAGCTGGAGGCACCTTCTGCCTTGGTCAGCCCCGTGCCCCCTCCAGCTATGCTGGTCCTTTCTGTGGTGGGGGAGGTGTGTAGCTGCTCCCCCCCCCCCCCGCCCGCCCCAAGAATCCCCCACCAGAGCTGGAGGGACACGGAGCTGGAGGGGCAGGGCATGTGTGCATTGCCAGGATGGCTATTATTTCTGGGCCTAGGGTTGGCAGGGTTACAGCCCCTCAGCTTCAGAGTGAGCTACCCTGACACTGCACACAGAGCATAAACAGGCTATGTTCCGTGCCCTCTGCTGGGGACCCTGATCAGCTACCCAAACTGGGGTGCTGTGGGGGGCCCTATGACCCAGGGTGGTCACTGGGGCTGGAAGGAGCAGCCCTGTGGGTGTGAGGCTCTGCTCTGGCTCTTTGCCATTGCTTGTTTTACACCAGTGATAATGAAGTGAGGTCACGTGGGCACTACCTTGCCAGTCTGATGACCTGGCACACAGCAATCTGGTTGTTGGTTCTCCCCCTTCTCCTTATCTTTGTGGGCAGTTGAGAGGAAGGACTTCATGTAGGGTCTGGGTTTGGATGAGTTTCATGGATTGGAGCCTGGAGCTTACAAGGCCAGAGACTGTGCTGGCTGGCAGGGTGGGTGGGTGGGTGTGTGGGTGAGGGTGCCAAGATGGAGCAGAGGCAGAGTGGAGAAGCATGGGGGAGTTTGAGTACAGTATTGGGAGGGCATCCTCTGTATCTACCTCATTCCCTCTTCTCCAGTGTGTACCAGGCCAGACTGGGAGCTTTTCCCTTAGGGACAGAATTTCTTCTGACTCTAGTGGGGGCCCTCTTTCCCTCTTTTCTGGTTTCGTCTCCTCTCCTCTTTGATCTTGACAAGCTCCTTTCTGGTCCTGGGAGCACAGCTACCTGCTGTCCAAGGCAGCTACTGAAATTGTTCCTCTTGTCTAATTCCCAAATTTCAAGGAGCTCCTGTTTTAGGAGTCCCCAAGGAAAGATGACCCATGTGCCCACAGTGAGGGAGGGGTCGGTGACTGACACTCAGGGCAGTGACTTATCTGCAGTCTCACAGAGACGGGACTGATAGACTCAGTGAGCAGGCTGACAAGGTTTGTTGTGAAGGCATAGGAAAGGACAGAAGCCATAGAGCTTTAGGCTAAGAGGGACAAGGGGGCATTCCTTGCTTTCTCTGAGCCAGTTAGGAGACCATATCCACACAGAGAATGGGAGGCGGGGATGGGGTTTTTTTTGAGGGGTGACTGGGACTGAGCAGTTGGTACAGGGTGGGCGGCAGGCACAGGCTAGGATGCCAGGAGGGATTGGGGGCAGATGGAGGTCTTGTTGATTTCCTATGCCCTTGAGTTTCAGAGTTCTCCAGCCCTACCCTCCTTTAGCATGGGTGGGGAGCACTGTGGGGGTGACATGACCACCAGGAGACTTGCTCATTTTGACCCATTTGGACTGCCTGTAGGAGCAGATAACCTGAGTGCCCTGGCCAGGCCACACTGGCCTAACGAGTGTATATGGGACACTCTGCCTTCTGAGCCAGGAGCATGAAGCAGCTGTCCATTTCCTTCCTTTCACTTTAAGTCTACCAAAGGGGCCACTTGGGCAAGGCCCTGCACTATTGCTCATTTGTGGAATTGGCTCCTAAAGAAGATTGTGAGTGAGTCATCTCAGGAGTGTGTCCCATATATGATGATGTGGCCCCTTCATTGCCCCGTGTTGCCCCCAGCCTCCCAGAAGGTGGGCTCCAGGACTGGGGATGACTGGCCCTGTCCAGGACAGGCCTCCTAGGATACTCACTGGTGAGGAAACTGAGGTGCCAGGTGCCCTGCCTGTGGACACAGGTAGAGCCTGTGCCTGTGGACACAGGTGCCTTCAGTGTAGGCACACCACAGGTATGAATTGAGATTCTCTGAGGGGCCCGTCGTGTATTCCTCAATGGGCCCCATGTTGGTAGGTGTGAATGCGTATTATCCTGTGTAGAACTGGCACTTTGGGAATTCTACTAGAGCCTGGCAGCTAAATTCTTTTTTGTCCCCTCATGAACTCTGGCTTGGCTTTTTAGATCCTGACTCTTACAGTCTTATTTCCTGTGTCCTGCCTTGTTGGGACATCAAGGCTGGGCTTGGAGTGGCTCCTTTAAGAGCGAGCGCCTGTGTCCCAGACTCTGTTGTGGAATGCCAGCAGCCTCCCTGCAGACAGACATCACTGCGCTGTCCTCCGTCCTGTCTCCGTGAGGGTTAACAACACTTCAGCTTGTTGTCTGGAACCGGTTCAGACTGGTTTTCTGGAAAGTGCTTTGTCTCTCAGACTGAATCCTGGGAAGGGTCATGTGGAGCCCAGTGATGTCATGGGATCAAAAACTGACTCAGCTGTTTTTTTTCTTCTTTTCTTTCTTTAAATCAAGATATGTGTGTGCTGCAGGTACACGGTGCTGGCACGGTGACAGGCCAGCTCTCACCCCACTCAAAGTTTACCTTACTGGCAGTCAGAGGGTTAAACGTGACCCCCACCTCTCACCCCCCAGAGGTGAGCAGGGAGTGAGGAGGCTGTCCCTCAGTCAAGGGGAAAAGAAGGGTCAACCTGAGTCAGTGCAGTGCGGGGCTGGACCTGGGCAGTGACCCTGCTCCTGGGACAGCGTGGTCTCCCTTTGCTGGATTCCAGACACCTCCAATCCAGGGCAGGTACTCCGAATCCCATAGGCAGGGAGTTCAGATCTAGAACAGTTTTCCTCTATTTGCTTTTGAGTCTGGAGCATAGAGAATTCCTTTTCTTTCTGATAAGCAGCCACTTTCCATTGTTCCTATCCAGGTCCCCACATGTCTCAGCTCCCCAGATGCTCCACTGATCCTGCCCAGCCTTCCCCAGGCAGTGAAGAAAGGTCCTGGGCATACTTTGTGGGTCCTGCATTTGTTATGCCTACTTCCGCTAACAGCATGTGGCAAGGAAAACTCTCCAAGCTGACACTGAGAAGTTTCTAAGAAGGTAGCAACTTGGTTGTGCCAAGTTTAAATGTCATGTTTTCTCCTTCTCCCAAAGTTCAGAATGACTGAAGAAGCATGCCGAACACGGAGTCAGAAACGAGCGCTTGAACGGGACCCAGCAGAGGATGATGTGGAAAGCAAGAAAATAAAAATGGAGAGAGGATTGTTGTCTTCAGATTTAAACACTGACGGAGACATGAGAGTGACGCCTGAGCCAGGAGCAGCCCCAGCCCAAGGGTTGCTGAGGGGGGCAGAGGTGACGACCATGGGCAGATGCGAAGGGCAGGCGGGTGACGGGCCCGTGGACATGCGTACCTCATACAGGTGAGCAGGAGGAACCTGGAACCAGGTCTCCTGGGTATGAAGAGGTGGTGAGGAGATGGGGATGAGGCTTCCCTTCAGGTCTGCAGGAAGCAGCTTTGGGTGAGTTATGGTGGAGATGGCTGTGGGTTCCAGTCCTGGCATCACTGTGCTGTCCTGGACAGACCTCCCCACTGGGGCCTGGATGTCAGTGGCAGAGGGTGTGATTCTCACAAGAGGAGGGGTAGTATTCTCCATCAGCTCTCCTGTAAGGCAGCAAGTCTTCACACCTGTTGTCTGTTCAACTGGTGCTTTTGGTTTGTAGGAAAACTTGGATTTTTTAATTTGAATATATTTCCTTGCTTTGTAGATCTGGGTTTCAGGAGGGCAGGGGTTCTACACTTTTTCTGGGTCATTGGGCTGGGGGCAGAGTCTGGAGGCCAGCTCAGGGATACCTCGCACATGTGCCACCACTCCTTATAGGCAGCACATTATGAAGGAGGAGGTCACTCTGTTCATCTTCTGTGGTGTGTTTTGGTTTCTCCTTAGTACTGATTACTTTCAAGAGTAGTTTTCCTGATCCTCAGCTTTGTGAGGTTCTTAAGGAAAAAACTTGAAAGAATTAAGACTCAGTGTCGTTCCTGTCATACCCTCCTTCCCCCCAATTTCTTCACTCAGAAACATTCTTTTCTTGTAAAGAGAAATCTGGGCCTAGCATCTGCTGTCACTGTTAACCCTTGGAGCTCTGGTGAGAGAACCATTCTCTCCAGAATGTTCACACCTAGATGTCTTATGAGCCAGATATGCCACGGTGGGTGTGTGGGTATAGGCATGGCCTCCTGGCCCTCCCTCACTAACCCCCTAGTCCTCCCCTACAGACCCCTTTCCGTGTCTGTTTGCCTGGAGTGGGGGGGTGAGGGTGAGGGTAGCAGGTGCAGAGCCAGGGAAGTTGGGAGCACCTTCTCTTCCCATGAGTGTTGACTAACCCACACAGGGATGACTCCACCCTGCAGTCTTCATGTTAAATTCATTTTGGAGTCCAGATTTTCAGAATCCTAAGGATTTCAGAGGTCATCTGGCCTGACATTTCTCAGCTTTTACAATTCTTAACCTCTTTGAGATAAATAGGAAAATCCAACCCCTTCTATTGGGGAAGCATTCAAAGTGGGGTGGGGGTACTTTCTGTTTCTACTACCCCAAAAGGCCTTTTTCTGTCTGGCTCTGCTTTTTGCTGTCCCTGTTCTAAAACCAGAGGCCTCTTTGAAAGTTTCAGAAATAAAATTGTAAGTCTGGGCCTCCTTTCCCTCTGTCTGACTTGGTCCTCAGTAGTGTTTCAGGGGCTGTCTCAGGTAGCTGAGGAGGAGGAAGAGCCCATGTTTGTGAAGATCTGCTGGGTTCTTGTGTTCCTGGGCTCCTGGTGTGCATTTTCTTCTATAATCACCTTTCTCCTCTGCAGGGCAGCCCAGTGGATTGTGAGGGAGAGATTACCAGATCTTTCTGTTGATATAGCCTGGGGCTACATTTGGCCTCTGGGCCTCTTGCTTCCAGACTTCTCCATTATACCTATTGGCTTCCAACCCAAGGTCACTTGGACAATGTGATGTTTTCTGAGGTTGATGGGGATGATATCCTTATGACACAAAGGATGCGAGGGAGCAGGGATCATAGATTAACCCAGGCACACAGGGCAGGGGTGATCCTACAGGACTGGAGATGCCCCAGGACACTCATGGAGCAGTATGAGAGTGTGGAAAGAGTTTGGCTTTGGTGGCCGGCAGGCGGAGTTGGGGTCACATCATATTCCCTGACTGATCTTGTGCAGATGGTCTTAGTCTTTGTTTCTTCATCAGTAAAATGGGTGATAATCTCTGCCTTGCAGGTTATTGGGTGACAGATGTGTACCCAGAATTGGTCCTAGTGTGGGGAGGAAGTGTTGGTGGCAACTATCCTTCAGTCTTCACTCAAAATGTCCACATGTAGAGCTAGTATGTCCCTGAGTTCCCACATAGAATATTCTGTTTAATTTGAGAAGTACAGTTTTGAATTTTGGCAAAAATCATACGATCAGGTATACCCCACAGCCATTCTAAAACTGTAATCTGTTCTGGAGTGCGTGGCCCCAGTATCTGTGTTAGAAATAGGCAGTCTTTGAATCCTTGTTAAGAGCATCTGGCTTGAGAACATCCCTTTAGGAACCTCCCTGTATCACGGTATGGTTGTTCCATTGGTTCCCAGGTTAGTGTGAAATCCCACATTGGGCAGATCAAAAGGCACAGCTGTACTAACCATAGTTTAGTTGGGTTGAAGCTCTTTGGCTTCAGGTTCACTGAATCTTATAAGACCAACACGCCAATTTTAGATGGTTCTGAGAGAATTTCATTTTTGTTTTTTTAATTGAGATAAAGAACACATACTGAAAAGTACAGAATGGTGCCACTTGATATATTTTCACAAACTTGAACACATCCCTGTAGCTAGAATCAAGAAACAACCTTGGAGCCCCCTTATGCCTGCTTATTGTCACTACCCCAAGGGTAACCAGTTTCTTGGCTTCTAACAGCATAGATTAGTTTTTCCTGGTTTTGTATTTATTTTTTTTAATATTTATTTGACAGAGAGAGACACAGCGAGAGGGACCATAAGCAGGGGGAGTGGGAGAGGGAGGAGCAGGCTTCCTGCTGAGCAGGGAGCCCGATGGGGGGCTCGATCCCAGGACCCTGAGATCATGACCTGAGCCAAAGGCAGACGCTTAATGACTGAGCCACCCAGGCGCCCCTGGTTTTGTACTTTAAATAAATGGTATTATGCAGTCTGTACCCGTTGCTTGCTTTCATTCAACATTGTGTTTGTGAGATTGACCCATGTTGTTGAGTTTAGCAGTAGTTAGTTCATTTTCATTGTTGCATAGTATTCTGTGTCTAGAATTTCTGTTTGGCTCTGTTTTACAACTGCCTCATTTTCTTTCACGCTGTCTTTTTTAAGATTTTTTTTACTCATTTTACACAAGTTAAATCATGAGCAGGGGGAAGGTCAGAGGGGGAGGGAGAAGCAGACTTGGGACTTGATCCCAGGACCCCAGGATCATGACCTGTGCTGAAGGCAGACATTTAATCCAGACGCCCCTTATGCTGTTTTATGACTCAAATTGGGCTTTTTGAAGATTAAAGGGAGTTTCTGGTGGCTTCTAGGAGAGATAATTTTCTTTAAGGAAGTGGCTGGTAAATTAAAATGACCAAGATAAAACTTTTTTTAAACTATATTGGGGTGATGTGTAGCATACATAGGCAGACAAAAGGGTAAAAGTCAGTTCTTCACCTCTCTACGTTTCTCCTCTCCATCTTTGGCGGCTTTTCTGACCTAGGCTCCCACTTTGTGTGTATTTTATTTTCAAAATAAATCAAAGCTGGAGGGTAATTTCCAGCAGTGATTGAGTGAGGAGAGATTTTCAACCCCACCCACCCACAGCTATAAAACAGGACGAAATTGCCCAAAAAATGTCAGTCATTTCAGCACTGTGGAAACTGACCAGAGGCATACAATAATCTGAGAAGTGTTTGTGCTTAAGGAACTACTGAACTTTGGGTAAGAATAGGGAGAATCTGTGGCATTTAGCCTGGTGCTCCTTTCATGCCCTCTCCCCAGTTCTACTACTAGGGAACTTCTGCCTGTCAGGTACAGGCTGTGAAGACCAACCCCTTCTCTGCAGGAGTGAGATGAGGCTCATTCAATTTAAGAGAGTTCTGGGCAGCAGCCCTGGGCCCGTGGCCTTATTGGTTGAAGTGACAGTCTTAGAGATGGGCAAATGGGGAAGGACAATGACTCTGTTAGCCCAAGGTTGCAGTCATGATTGGGGCAAGACAGAAAACTGTTTGAAGAAATAATGGGCAAAAACATATGTGAGGAGAATTCTCACTCATCCGAGAAGCTCAACAAACCTCAAGTAGCAGAAATACAAAGTGATCTATACCTGGACACATCATAGTCAAGTTGTTACAAGCCAGAGAAAAAGAAAATTTTAAAAGTAGCAAGAGAAAAAGGGCTCATCATATACAGGGGAGCATTAATATGATTAACAGCCAGCTTCTCACCCAAGATCATAGAAACCAAAAGGAGTTGAATGATATCCAGAGTACTCAAAGAAGAAAACTGTCAACCTGGAATTCTGTGTCCAGCAGAACTCCTTCAGAAAAAGGCAAAAAAGACATTTTCAGATACAGACCAAAAGAATCCGTCACTGGCAGACCTGCCAGTCTTCAGTCTGAAAGAAAATGACATGTTGGTAATTTAGGTTCCCAGGAAGAAAAGAGCACTGGAAATGGTAAATATGTGGGCTAATATAAAAGACTTTATTCTCATTTCTTCTTAAAACACATAACATTGTGTAAAGTGTTAACTGCAACTAACATTGGTCATAATAGACAAAAATAACCATTCACCTCTCTGGAAATTGACCAAAGGCATACAAAAATCTGTTGTGTTTATAATGGTGACAGATATGTCAGACAAACAAAACAGGAGGAATGAAATGGAGCTCCACTGGGGTAAAGTTTTTCTACTTTTTACCAGAATCAAATTAGTAATTTGAAGCAGATTGTGGTAAATTAATAAGATGTTTTTTATAATCTCTAGAGCAACTATTAAGAAAAATAACTTCATAATAAAAAAGAAATCAGAAAAATTTAGTGGTACACTAAGAAATGTTTAACACAAAAGAAGACTGTCAGCGAGGAACAGTGGAACCAAAAAAAAAGAATGTGTGTGGAATACAACTAGCAAAATGGCACATGTAAATACAGTCATATCAATTATTGTGTTAAATGTGAGTGGTCTAAACACCCCAATTATAAAGGCGGAGATTGTCAGACTAGATTAAAAAAAAGCAAGATCCAGCTTAATTATATATTGTCTGTAAAAGACACTTCTTAGATTTAAGGATGCTTTTATCCTTTGGTAAAATGATGGGAAAAGCTATACCATAAGTAACCATAGGAAAGCTAGAGTGACTATTATCAGTGTTAGATAAA